TGCATTGTTTCAGACTTCCTTAATTATGTCTCTAAACATAGCACAATCTCCTTAAAGTCTCAGGAAAAATACAGAGAAAATTATAAGGAAGTATCATACGTTGTTTAATTGTAATTGGCATTGACAGTCCTGAGTTTCCTGAGCTTCCTGACTTAAAAGCTAGTTAGCAGTTCACAGCAGCTGGATAATAAATTAAAAGGATGTGAGCTTGATAATAAATTAAAAGGATATAAAAGGATAATAAATTAAAAGGATGTGTGCTTAAATCAATGCCTTTTAGGATTGTGAGAATAAACTGGAATTCAAAGTCAAGTATGAATAGCCTAAGGAAACAGTGAACACTCCACTTTTTAAGCTACCATGAACATACTTTAAATATTTCATTCTAGGAAAAATAAAAACTGAACCTTGTTCTCCCCTGCTGCACTCAATATAATTTATTTCCAGAATTATTAAATATTCAATAGGTAAATCTTTAGTCTACCTTGTAAACCTTCAGTTAATTTCTAGGTCAGATCAGATATGACTAAAGACTTTACAGTTTGATGCCTGTTTGGTTCCAATGCTGAAACCATGCTATAAAACTTCCACAGAAACTACCATAAATAAAATATTTTCTGATAGGATTTGCAAAGAAACCAAAAACTGAGCAGTGACTGAGATGGAACTACCTCTGACCTTTCCAAGGCCTCCGGTGAGGACTGGGACACCAGTGTTGTGACTAAAGGAAGCCGGCTCTGCAGCTCCTTGTGCTTCACATTGGTGTGGAAAGAAAGTTCTGGTCTCAAGTTTTGTTACAACAGTATTTCAAAAGTGCCAGAAAAGCCAGATTTCTTTAATTGCTGCTGTTGCAGACATTCAGGGGATATGCTGTCATTTCAGGTTATTGTCTGCCTAAAAAACAGATGGAAAAGCATTGTGTAACTGTGTAGAATCAAAATACTGCAGTACTAAAGGAAAGGATTCTCCATCTCCTGCAGCTCTTCCCTCCTTCCCGTACTATCTTCCCTTCTCTTTTCTGACATTTAGCTCTTCTTTCACCAACCCTCTGCAGTGTTACTTTTTTCAGCAATTCCAAACTGCTCCTTCCCTTCTCTGGGTCAGCTGCATTCCCAGAAAACAGCCATTTCAGTGATTAAAGGTATGGTTTGTCGTATAGGGTTTTGAGAGCAAGATATAAAGGAGGAAGAAAGCAATAACTCTGGAGGTCATGAGGGAAAAAAAAAAAGAAGAGATTTGATACACCTCGTTATAAACATTTTACCTCACTGTAGTCAGCGATATTGATTTAAATTTGGTTTAGTTCAATTTACTTCAATAAAACTGTTGATATTCACGTTCATCTAGGTGAGCACAGAACATGCTTCAGAATTTATATTCTTTTCATATTCATTGCACATCTGCATGTTAAAAATCATATGTGTGTCTTGAAGTGGTTTACAAAGGAAAGAAAACAATTCTGTATGATGATTTCTCTACATTGTTGCCCCTAATGCTTCTTCCAGTAATATCAGATTTTATATTTAAAAAGGATTGCAACTCTTCAGAGGCAAAAAGCTGAACAAGAGCAAATGGTACTTTTCAAGAAAACAGACCCTTCGGGCACTAGGATGCCTTGTTAGGAGGATCCTACAAAACAGGCATTACAGCTACTTGATGAACTGGAACCTGAAAGAAAGTGGACCGACTGACTGAAATTAAGTCTTTCTGGACAGCTTGGTATAATTAGATTTACAATCATATTATGTCTAGGTTTTCTACAAAGACCTTTGTTTAAACTTCAAAGGATGTCTGCTTCCTTTTAAAGTATTTCCACTACCTACATATCAAACCTGTCAGAGTGCAGAAATACTACATACCCTCTTTTCCTGCTCCAGGCCATAGTGAAATTTACTCTGACCAAAAGAATTAAAAAAAAAAAAAAAGAAAAAAAAAGGAAAAAAAAAATCTTATGCTTCTATTAAAACATATTACAACTGCAGTGGCAGTCAGTCCACTCCAGGAATATATGCTGGGGCTTGCTAGCATTCCAATGAAACAGAAGTTAAACAACATCAAGGACTTCTGTGTTACAGCTACCTAAAATAACTTAAAGGAAAAGAAAAGCAACCGTCTGATGCAGTGCTATAAAATAAAATGTGTAAGAAAAAGGCCTCTTTCACATTTTCAAATTTAGCCAAAGGAATAAATGTCATAATCTTGGCATCTCTGCCCTCATTCCTCATCCATCAGATTTGTGACAGTTTCAAAAAGACATTCATGAAGAAACTAACTCAGTGTCTCCTTTATATTAAGAGGAATTGAATAAAGCTTTAGGGCAAACAGCACATTATTTGCAATTTTAGGTAATTTTCTAACCAGAATTTATGCCAAATACTTATGACTCTTGTAAAATAACCCCCCAAAAGGCTTCTATTTATCAGGCTTAAGCGTTTAACAGGTATGTGCTACGGTACCAATTAAATAAGGCAGTAAAAACTAAGTCCTCTGATAAATAACAAACGTTCTTCTAAGCCTGGTCCTCTTTCCCATCTTTTAGTTAATCTTCATTAAAAATAAGTGCATTAAAATATGTCATGTCTTTGGATGAGTGGTATTTATATATGGGGGTGGGGAGAAGAGAGAGTAATGAGAGAAACTGTCTCTTTGCTGTGAAGAGTTATCACTCCTAGAAATGAGAATTAAAATGTTCATTGACCTTCTCCTTCCTTTACAAATCACCTTTACAAATGATGGCTACTGATAAATGAGCTGTGTCTTTTGAATGCACAATACAATCCAGTACTATGTGAGACAATGGGAAAGACATGAAAGCAAGGCAGAATTCACTGGTGGCAGTGCCTATCTGGAGGAACAGAGAAGTTCCTTCAACTGTTCCAAGTTACTTGACACAATTACACGTTGTATAAAAGCATAAAATTAACTACATTAACTTTTTAAAATAAAAGATTGACTGAGAAGGTTGCTTGTTGAGGACTCTTCTAGCTCTAATACAAGAAAAGCTGTTTTTGAGAGTGTTATCTGGGTTCAATAAGTAGATTTGTTCTAGCCATGACATGTTTTCAGCTATGCCAAGTCTTTTTTTGGATACCTGAAGTTATTCGATATGCTGTTTGATATACATATAGTATTGTATTCCCTTGTAAATACTGCCTTACTGTTAGAAAAGACTCGAAAATATTAAGCTCAGACTTTATCACATTTGACAAGTCACAGCAGAATCCAAGACAAATACAGGTTAGAAACAGCTGTTCATAGTAAAACTTAATTATACTGAGCAATTTGGATTGTCAGAAAGAAACAGCTAGCACCTGTGGGCAAGGCAGTAGTGAGAGCTCTAATACCCAATTAGCACACATGGATCAAAAGAAGAAAAGGATCTTAATTTCTGTTAAATAGGGAGGGGTCAGCAAGAAAACCAACTGAGTCTTTAGTTACTACAGCTTACTTTGATGTTTAATAAGAAATAACAACTAAGACTTTTTTGCTATTTTGATTTTCTTCATGTGATGCCATAAAGAGGAAGACCTGATAGCAAAGTTGTGTGTTTCCTTAAGATCTGCTGCTGTTGAATTACTGGAATGGGTTAAAATTCCTTGCTGAGCAGCTGCTCATCAGCAAACTGTAAGTTGTACCTCAGAAATGGTTGTGCATGGTCACCTGCCCAGTGAGATGTCAAATTTGTGAAATTCAAAGAAAATGCTGAAGAGGTTTTTCACTTAGAAGTTGTTGTTCATGTTCTTTCAATTCTTTCCACTAGCAATAACAAATGAAACACATGGGGTTTTCTGCCACAAAATGAGGAGTCTCCAAGGTAACAAGGGCACTGAGTTACAGACAAAACACACAAAACTTTATTTATTGTAATATACCTCTAATTCATTCCTATTACAGGTTTCACAGCTGAGTTAGATACGGTCAAAAAAACAGCAGGCACCTGAACGAAAAAGGTGGTGGCATTTAATCTTGAAGGCAATAGCATTTTTGGCCATTCAGGACTTTTAAATGGTGTCATGTCACTTGTAAAACACACGGTGAGTGTATCATGCCATTATTGATTAAAAGATAAGCTTTTTCTTTTTAAAAAAGAAACTCAAATAGATAAATATTTAATATGCTCTATTAAAATACAATTTTATGATAGTATATATTAAAAAGTAGACTGCTAAAAACTCTAGGACGTATTTGTAATAAAGATGAATTTGCATGTCCTTCAGCTAAATTTCTTGGGATTCTCTAGTATATTCAAAACCGGTTTTGTGTTTATAGCTTAGGCAAGGTGTGTAAGGAAGGAAGTCTCTGCTCCATGTTTCTTGTCAGTGAGTCTTTGGTTTGCTAGATATGGAAAATCGGCTACAATACTTGGATAGCAACAAATTAAAGAACTTCCAGGCTAATCTCATACTTTTTATTGTCAGCTGTGCACTTGATGTGTGCCCATCAAAGCTCTTCTCCAGCGCTTCTGAGGAGCTTTGACATGGGCTCTGAAGCAGTGCTAAAACCACAAGGCCTTCAGAGCCCAACTGCTTTGGGAAGGGCCTGTTTTTGTTATGGCACTAATAATTATGTTATTAGGCCTGAGTAAAAACTGAACTACAACAGCAGGAATTGAAAACAGGTTTATTTCACTGAAGCATTACATTGGCCAACAGGAACCAGCACAACAGGAAGCACATGCTTACACCACAGCCTATCCTAGACAGGCCTTCCAAGAACAGTTACAAGCCAAAAAGACACAAAAAAGCTGCGTCTGAGCCCAACCAGGGCTCCTCCTGCCTAAAGGAGGGATGGAGGCCGGTCTGAGGGGCGGCAGCAGCCCCTGCGCGTCCCTCATGAGGGGCCCTGAGGGGGCCACCGCTCTCCCCTCATCCCCCTCATGGCGGCCCCACCTCGCGCCCCAACGCTCCCGTCAGCCGCCACGCGCCCTAACGGCCCGCAACGGCCGCCATTTTAAAAGAGCTCGCGTGCCCCGCCCCTCTGCCCTCTGGCTCACTCTGACTGGCCAGCGCTTGCTGTCAATCACTCCCGCGCCCACCTCAGCCGGCTGCTGATTGGCTGAGCCGGGGCAGGGAGAGGGAAAGCTGTGGCGGCGGTGTCAGCTCTGCCTGGCAGCGGTGCTGTGAGGGGCGGACAGACGGCGGAGCCGGCCTGAGGGCGTCCCGCTCGGGTAAATGGCGCCCTGAGGAGGCGGGCGGGGTGTTTGTGGGCTGCTGGCTGCTGGCCGCGTCCAAAGCTCAAGGTTTTGAAGTCAAGTTTTAGGGGATTTTTTTTTTTTAAATTATTGTTTTGTATTGGGCATTGCGTGAACGTTATCTTTCCAGAATGGTTGCTTACATAGGTTCCTGTCCCAGAATGAATACCTGGTTGATAGAAAAGAAAAATGCATACATATATATATATATATATATAAAATAGATTGATATTACTACCACAGAATTTCATAAACTAGACCGTATGTAATTATGTACACAACTTACATTATTACACAATACTGCTATAAATCTATAAGCTAAATTCTGTATAATTATATACACAAAACCTTTCTTTTTCTGGGATGGAAAGAAAGGAGTTGTGTTTATTCTGTCAGTGTTCTAATTAAGGGACGTGTATAGGCTGTTAAAGTGTCAGCTGTTGTGGAAAGACTGCACCAAAGAACAGGGCCATGACTCAAGAACAGGGCCGTGATTCAAAGGTTGGTTAAAGGGGCTAAGCTGTTGGGCAAAATAATGCAAACACAGAACAGTAATATCACGGTAAAATGTGCATTAAATGTGGCGGTGGAAGGGGCTTAATCATTAAAACCAGTCTAGCCACAAGTAGTTATGGCGTAAATCTTCTGAAAAACCTTTATAAACATACACAGACTTACTTTGGATTGAGGAACTGTAGTGGTTTTAGTGGAATATCTAAGTGAAGAACAGTAAGACTTCTAACAACCATGGGGCTGGTTAATGTCTTTAGTATGGAGGTAAGAACTTGGTCAGCGTGACAAGCAATCATCTGAAAACCCTTCTATGTGAAAGGGTGGGTGGGATAAGTTTTGCTATGTTACCTATTTGTATGTATGGCTTTATTTTTAGTAGTTCTTGTTTCTGGTAGCAGTAGGAAGTTACCTGGACAGGACGGCTGTTGTGTGAAAAATAAGCTGTATAGATAATGGTGCTTATTTGGGTAATGAAGCTAGAAGTAAAAGTTCATTGAAGTTTAGTTTGTACAAAAAAAAACCAAGAGTAACAAGATGAAGGGGACAAGGTGACTTCTGCTTCAGACTGTAGAAAATGGATGCAATTATAGCTGCTTTGGGATCCTTCTTCCTTCCTTTTCGGCAGCATCGATCAATTTAATGCAGCAATGGAATTAGTTCAAGTTTGGTGCAGCACTTGAAGTAATTTGTTTCTTGGGACCTTGAGTGATGGGAAGTCCAACAAAGAGACAGGCACATGAATGCTTACTCTCTGTGGTTTAGCACCCTTTATTCTCTGCTTTCCATATACTTCACTATTGAAGGTCTTAACTAGGTCCAGTGAAGGGAACTTAATTGTTCAGCAGATAACTGAGTTTTGACGAGACGTTTTTTGTGAAATCAAGCCTGGTATTAGCTGTTTTTCATGGTGGGGGTGGAGTAGAGAATTCTTCAGGATGTTACTCAGTGAAGCTTCAATTTATTGAAGACAAAGCAAGATGAAAATATAAAGGGCATTAAAGAATAAACAGTTGTAGTTGATGTTTCTCATGGTGATTTTTTTTTTTGGCTGCGTGTCTTTTGGAGAATGAGGGACATACCACGTGGACAGGCCACTTGGACCAGGGATTGAAGTGTTGAAGAAGATTGTTTGGCTAAGTATTGTGGACCTTACAGCAGAAAATCTTGGGAAAAAAACAGGGCAAGGAGAGAAAGTCAGTGAAAAAATCTGACTTTGAAGTCAGACTTTGTGAGTAGTGTGACTAGTAAAGTTCTTAATTACTGTGTGGTTTTCTGGGTGTGATTAGTTTCCTGTGACCTAGATAACAGAAACTTAAAGCTGTTGTAGGATATCTTGGCACGCTGGGAAATAGTGGTCATGGCAGCAACAAGTCTTTTGATAAAAGCTTGATATTGATAAACCTTTTTCAGTTTTGATGTGAAAATGGATAAAGGCATGAAAATAAGGACCCTGGGGTGGAATTATCTCAGCTTCTTAGTTTTGACTGACAGTTCTGCCAAGTTTTATTATATATTGGTTTTAATTAAATTATTTTTGTTCCTGAATTCTTTGAATTCTTTACGTTAATTAGACATGGACTTAGTGCATTTCTGAAGTCTTTTTTTTGGACTCAAATCCAGTTTTAAAATCATTGGTACTTCCATAAAATAGAGTAATAAGAGAGAGGAATTTGTCCCTTTGAGTAGCGTTTAGGTCTCTATACAACTGTGATAACAAGCTTTATGAAAGAATTCATTATTGTAACTTGAAGGACAGCATACTTAGAAAATAGTTGTGATACTATTTGTATAAAAAAAAACCCAACAACACACAGAATATAAAATTGCTGCTTCGAGTTGAAGATTATTACAGCTACGGAACAATGTTTTGAAAACAAGTATGTAGATGGTAGTAATTGCATGTAGGATTGCAGTCTTACGCTAAATAAAGTCACATTAAATAGCCAAATGTAGCATAAGTTGTGTTTTTCCGTGCTTTGGTAGTTTCTGTATTCAGACAACAGCTTAGACTTACCTGCCCTGAAGTATCTGTGATATTCTGTTGAAGCTGTTGCAGATATGCATGAGGAAAATACAGCTGCAACAAATGGATGTGGCAAAACCAGAAGTAGTACTCAGAATGAGGCTGCCTTACTGGCTCTGATGGAGAAGACTGGATACAGCATGGTTCAAGAAAATGGGCAAAGAAAATTTGGTGGTCCTCCACCAGGTAAGCATTTATTTGAGATCACAAAGTTGAGGTTTTTGTTTAAGAATAGCAATACCCTTAGTTTTGAGTAGAACTCATGAAGAGTGTTTTTGTTTAAAGACATTGCAAGGTCATGCAACTGGCATGATTATGGGGATGTGTGAAACTAATATTTTGTGCTGGAAGTGCTGAAAGCTTATGAAATAAATGGATAAAACCCAAAAGAATGTTTTTTGTTGTTTTCATTTTGAGTGAAGAAACTTAAGTACAGAAGGAGGAATAGTTCACTAGGTGTCTTTCTTAATTACATTTTTTTCATTGTTCTTGTATTCAAGAGTTTGAACACATGGTTTTGTTTTCTTTTACCAAAACGTCACGGTGTTTTTTATTCTCGGTGTTCTTGAGAACGTTTTAAGAAAAGAGATGGTTTCTAAATCATGTAGTTTCAACTTCTTGGGTATTTACTTTCTCCTTCGTTGCTGCTGTGTTGAGCCTGATGACTTTTTTTTTCCCCAAAAATGCATTTTCAGAAAAGTATCTGGCTTTGGTTTTGAGAGCCGTGGAAGATGGGTTTGTCTACTCTACCCTTAGCTTGTTAATATGGGTAACATCTCTCATGCTGAATTCAGGCTTTTTTTCTAGTCTGAAATAGTTTTTCTGAGTTTTCCTGATAAGACATTTAGTACCTGCCATTCTCTCTAACAATACTGTCAGTTACCTATATATAATAATTTTGCCTTAAGTTGCGGCTGTAACTCTTCTTTTTGAGACAGATTATGCATTTACACAAGCAGAAAGATGGTAGATTCTTCGTGCTGCTGTTTTGGATCATTCTCCCTAGTGACCTGTGATCCCATGGCTTTAAGTCATGTTTGTAAGCCTGAGCCCTACTGCTCATTCCTACATGCAGTTTAACAGACAGCTGTATCAAAATGATTGCTGTTTGGAAGCTTTTCCTGACTAAAATTACCAGCCCACTTTTATCAGCATTGGTAAAATAGAAGAAGAGGGCCGAATGAAATTCTTTTGAAAATGACCCTGAATACAGAACTGCAGGGCTTTGCTGACTGCTTTCTGAGAATTCAGCCTGTTTCTATGCTAATATATAAATACATATTTTCATAATGAAAACATTGTGTAATGTAAAATTACAATTTTAATTAGAATGTTACAGAATATTAGGTGTATTCCTTTGGCAAAAAGTATGTTTATTAATGGACTTTGTTAATCTTTTCTGAAATTAGATCTGTTGGACAAGGTATTTTCGATAGATCTGTTCACTGACATTATTTGTCTACTTCAAGTCTTCATGTATTTTCTTATTTGCTTAGGCTGGAAGTTGCCCTAAATAACTACGAACATTTTTCTAGGACAAATGAGGCCTGGATGTTTAAGATGGTTTCTGAGAAACTACAATTACTATTTGCAATTTTTTTGTGAATTTTGATTGTTTATGACGTAGTTCATATAAGCTTGTGTTGTTGTTGAAGGAGACATAGCTTCATTTTTCTGTTACCATGCTGTTTGTTTGGCTGTCGTATTATCCAGAGCAAGCAGTTGATCTGGCTCAAAATGAACCATAAAACCTGATTCATTAATTATTTTTAATTTTTCATCACCTTCACTGTCAGTAGCAAGGTTCTTGTCACTTTTGCCACTTGAAGAAAGTTTCATAGAATCATAGAATATCCTGAGTTGGAAGGGACCCTTAAGGATCATCAAGTCCAACTCTTGACATCGCACAGGTCTACCCAAAAGTTCAGACCATGTGACTAAGTGCACAGTCCAATCTCTTCTTAAATTCAGACAGGCTCGGTGCAGTGACCACTTCCCTGGGGAGCCTGTTCCAGTGTGCAACCACCCTCTCTGTGAAGAACCCCCTCCTGATGTCAAGCCTAAATTTCCCCTGCCTCAGCTGTTTATCAGAAAAGTGTTTTTGAAAAAACAAAACAATTTTAATTCCTTTGTTTGTTCCTCTGCTTAGATTGCTGCAAACATAATATTCTTATGTGTGTAATTAGTGTACAGTTTATAAACTTAATCTGCAAGAAAGCAAAAATTTCCTAGTGGTTCTATTTAAAAAAAAAATTAAATTCAGGAGTAAATTACTTGCCCTTTGGTGATATGTATGTGAGGGAAAAAATGTAAGTTAATTACAGAATAAATCATATTTAGGTGATCGTGAAATTCAAGCCAAAGTGAAACATTTAATTATTTTTCTTGTTGTAACTTGATAACTGTCATATTCTTCCTTTGCTTCCTTATGCTTTGTCATTTCATACTCATACTTAGTTACCAATTTTTTTTCTAACAGTTTTGTACCCCTCGCTTTCTCTTCTGTAGAGAATCTTTCTTGTCAAAGCCTTCAAAAATATACTAGTTATCATTGAATGATTTGTCTGATTTGCAACTCTTTTCTAATTTATTTGCCTAACTTAAAAAAATAAAAATGAGCCACTTTTTTTTTTTTTAAATACAGGTTTTTGGAAAATAAATGACATCATTACGGACCATTACTCCGTATTTTTAAAAGCGTATACTCATTTTTTACATTATCTGTTGAACATGTATGAACGCGGCATGTATGGCAGACATACAGTCTTTATTATACATCAGTGTGCTTGGCATAAGGACAAGATGCATGGATCTGTTCTGTGGATTTTACTTTTTTTCGCCCCTTAGCATCCAATTCAAGCATGTGAAAACTGATCCATTTGGGGAGGAAAAATATTCAGTGTTCTTGGGTACTGAAAAAAAGGATGGTTTCATATTCTACCATCCTTAGGGATTTCTTGTTTTAGTGGATGAACGGAGATTGTGAAACCAAGATGTTGGACCTTTTGAGTGGTGTTGAGGGGGGACAAAAAGCTCTGGGGACTTCTGAAAGCTTCTTAAAATGTGGGCAAGAAGTGTGATGAAATGTTTAAAATTGTAAAATGTTAAATGTATAAAGTACAACAAGTTCTTTCTCTAGCAATTGAGTTACCTCATATCAGTTGTACTAATAAGTAACATATAATTTTAAGGGGCAAAAAATGATTGAAATGTAGACTGACAACAAGCTTGTCAGTGTTTTAGGTAATGTTAGTTTCGGTGGCTTGCCATCCAAATTCAAGTGAAAGAAATGGAAAAAGAATTTAGAAAAACAGGAAAAAAAGGGAAAGAAAGGACTATTGCCCTATGTGTACAGTTTGTATTTAAACATAAATACTTAAGGTGAGAATATACCAGTTTTAAACAGAGACTGATAGTAAGTAAATAACTCCCAACCCCAGATTGTGTTGTGGAGGTGTGCCTGTCTGGCATTTGTACTAAGGTTTCTGTTGGACAATTTATTTTAAGGTTGGGAAGGTCCTCCACCACCTCGTGGATGTGAAGTTTTTGTGGGTAAGATTCCTCGTGATATGTATGAAGATGAATTGGTTCCTATTTTCGAGAGAGCTGGGAAGATCTACGAGTTTAGGCTGATGATGGAATTCAGTGGTGAGAATCGAGGCTATGCTTTTGTAATGTACACTGCTAAAGAGGAAGCCCAGCTAGCCATCAAGATTCTTAACAACTACGAAATTCGTCCAGGGAAGTTTATTGGTGTCTGCGTCAGCTTGGACAACTGCAGACTATTTATTGGAGCTATTCCAAAAGAAAAGAAAAAACAAGAAATACTGAATGAAATGAAAAAAGTTACAGAAGGAGTGGTGGATGTCATCGTTTATCCAAATGCCACTGACAAAACTAAAAATCGTGGCTTTGCTTTCGTAGAATATGAGTCTCACAGAGCAGCTGCAATGGCTAGAAGGAGGCTAATCCCAGGTAAACCTCTTTTTAATTAAATCAAATTCTGGGGTGGCAGAATATGTAACTCTTTTTTTTTTTTTTTTTTGGGGGGGGGTAATAGTAATCTCTTTTCTCTTTGATTTATTTTACTTTGAGAGTTACAAAACTGTAGTAGTGCTTTTCAGCTAAAACAGTTTTTGTTTATGAATCATTTTTTAAAATAAGTGAAATTTTAAGCAGTTCCAAGAACAAAAAGAAGCGTTTTATTAACACAAGTTACTGCAATTTACAAGATAGATATTTGCTTGGGCAAGCATCCAGTCTTCATTTGCATGTACTAGTCCCTGCACGGGAATTCTTTCAAAGCTGAGCTCAGATTGTGTCCCTTGTTTTCATTGAGGGGTATGAATGAAGTTACTGATATTTCATATTTTAAAGATGGTTGAAAGCATGTCTTTAATACTTTAGTAGAGAATCATTTGTTTTGATTATTTTTTTTAATTATTTCAGGTAGTAACATTTTACAAATTTTGCTTAAGTGGCAGACAACAGAACCGTCTGTTTCTGGTGGTGTGCATCATGTTTGTTTGCTTTTTATAGAGGTAATCTATAAGAATGGCTTTGTTTTCCTTTGCGCCTTTCTTATTGATGTAATGCTTCTTTGCTGTAGGAACGTTCCAGCTCTGGGGTCATACTATTCAAGTAGATTGGGCAGACCCAGAGAAAGAAGTTGATGAAGAAACAATGCAGAGAGTCAAAGTGTTGTATGTAAGAAATTTAATGCTCTCTACTACAGAAGACACGATTAAAGCTGAATTCAACAAGTTCAAGCCAGGAGTAGTTGAACGTGTGAAGAAGCTGAGAGACTATGCTTTTGTTCATTTTTTCAACCGAGAGGATGCAGTTGCTGCCATGTCTGTAATGAATGGGAGGTGCATTGATGGAGCTAGTATTGAGGTAACACTGGCAAAGCCAATTAACAAAGAAAGTACTTGGAAGCAACATTTTAATGATCAGATAAGTCCCTCTTCTGAAAGTCTCTTAGGGTTTCCCAGCAAAGAGGATGGTCATCAAAAATCTGCATGGAAACAAGCAAACCTTTCAGTTCGTCTTAATGGTCAGCACAGTCCAAGCCCCCCTGAAGTTGAAAGGTGTACATACCCATTTCTTCCAGGAACAAAGCTTACTCCAATTAGTATGTATTCCTTAAAATCTAGTCACTTCAGTTCTGCAGTAATGCACCTGGATTATTTTTGCTATAAAAATAACTGGGTACCACCAGAATACTACCTGTATTCAACCACGAGTCAGGATGGGAAAATACTTCTGGTGTACAAGGTACTTGTTCCTAGTATTGCATATGGTTCCCAGAGTTACTTCATGCCAGACAAACTCTGTACAACATTAGAAGATGCGAAGGAATTGGCAGCACAGTTGACACTTCTGCATCTAGGTAAGCATAAATGCTTTTAAATAGTTCTTAAGAAACAAAGCTAAAAAAGTTAACTTCAGCATTGTTCTTTGTGTATAGTTTTGGAAAGCTCTTTTTTTTTCATTGCTCTATATAGACATTTTCAGCACTATAATGGTATCATTGGAGTGTTCTTGAAGTGAAACGTGCTTTCTAATTATTTTTTCTAAACCAAAAAAGGGAGAAAACAGATGCAGTTATTCTTAATTCTTTCAAAGTTTAGCATTTTCGTTTGTATTTATTTCTTAAAATTAGAATGTGGCTGCTAGAAAGTAGAAGTTCTAATATTATAAAAACCTATGATACCCGTTCTTCTTGTAACTGAGAAAGCAAATTACTGCAATTCTGACAGTCCATTATCCCTCCTTCTGTTTGAAGTCAAAATACGAAAATAATATAAAATGTAATGTTTGACATCTGGTTCCTGTCCAGTATTTTTCAGTTCTGTAATACTGTGCTGTAGCATCCAAAACACAGAACTGATTTATAGTGTCACGTCATTTCATTAGTAATTGTAGCAGCCCTCAGCTGATAAAACATTCAAAATGAAATCAGAATTTCGGCCCTTCGGTAAATGGATTTGAAGGCTGTTACACAGACATACCATATGCTTTAAAAAATTGTATTTCCAGATGAAACGTTGTGTAATTCATTCCATCTACTCTTATCAGCAGTTGTACTTTCTCTTCCCTTCCTTTTTCATCCTGGTGTATTTCAAGATGAGATAGGACTGACCTTTATAGTTTTGCAGGTATTATGAACCGTCACTTGACTTCTCTGATCTGCTGAGTAATATTCTTGTGTATCAGTACCATGCTTTCTTTCAGCATGCCCAGATCTGTAGGTGCTGTATTGTGAAATTAATTCTTGCTAGACTTTTGTGCAGCAACATGAATATTTTTCTGTCATTAAAAAATATTTCTAGTTATTTCTAGAGCCAGAGGCTTCCTTTCTTTCTGTGAAGAATTATATTGGAGATAATAGGCTGTTCAGCTAACACAAACTAGTTTATTGTCCTATTCTATGTAAAAGACTTATAGTTAGCTTTTATTACCATTTAAAAGAGGGGCAAAGCAAGAGTTGTTTGGGCTAAGGCATAGTTTGGGTTTTGGAGTGGCCATAGGCAAATTATCTACAAGTCATATCTAATATCTAGGAATTTCGGGCAGTTTGTACTTCTGTTACTTTTATTTCAGTGTATTAAAGAGACCACAGTGTTTTTCTCACTTTCTGGTTTTAGGAAAAGCATGTGTTAGAATGTCAGTCTCCTGGGGCTGAACTTGCAGGTTGAAAGGCACAAAATTCCTTACAGGCAGTGTCTGAGGCATTGGGCTTGGTGATGCTGGATCGTGCAGCTCTAGATAGTGGCATGGTAAGATTGTACAATGCAGCAAATAGTCATTTCTGCTTAGCTGTGCATGCATGCAGCGCTCAGCAATGCATCCACGTGAATAATAGTTTAAAAAAAAAAAAAAGTCAAATTATGTATGGCTTGCTGCGTTCTCTTCTCAAAGTATCTTCTGCTGCTGGTTATAATTTTTTGGTTTGATTCTTTTTTAGATATGAAGGGAGGATAAATGAGATTAGATAAAGAAGAGTTTATTATAATGGCTTCACTTAATAATTTTGGTCCAGTAACCCTAAATTTTCAGGGGAAAAATGATAACCACAAGGTTAAGTGTGCTCCTGTGTTAATGACACTTCTGTTCCTAAGAAATGCTTCAAGACAGCATTCTCCATTCTGTGCTTTGTTTCCCTGCATATCTGGCCGTGCATATCTGCCCATTTTGTGGCTTAAAGCTACCATTATAAAAAGGTGTGCTCGAAATTGTTTTGGTGATTTCTTTCTCAGAGGAGTATAAGAGAGAATTTTAAACTGAGAATGCCTATCCACAGCTGTTATCAAATCCACAATGCAACAAGTTTAAAAAAAATAAAAATGAAGTGTGTGTTGAGCTTTTTATCTTCAATTATAGTTGTAAGCTCTATAAGGGAAAATGTTTTAAAGTGAATTTAAACTAACAGTATTTTAAAGCTTTGTAACATTTCAGGGTTCTATGTGTACTGCAAGTGGTGTGAGTTTTTACCAGAATTCCCAAATCCCAGGTTTGGATTTTTAAAAGCCACCTAATGGCCTGGTACTGGTAATGCTGTCTTGTTATCTTTGAACTCCGAATGTTCTTTATTCTTCTATTGTCTCTGTGCATCCTCTTTTCTGAGGATTTGGTTCAGCACAGAGCATGCACAGCCTTCTTTCAGAGCAAGTGTAACTGACTTCTGAAAGACACACCTTTTTCATGTTGATTTAAAAACCTCTGTTTGGTGTTTCACATTGTTGTAATACCAAAACATAGCTTTAAGGACTGTAGAAATAGTGTTTTGTTTTTCTGTATTTCCCCCCATCTAATCTACAGAAGTTTTTATTCTAAGTTAATATACTCTGTTGAAAGAAATACCTGTTGCTGGATGGGACAGAAGATCCCTCTTACTCAGTGAAGCGTCTGTCATATGGTCTGACATGTTCAATGATGCTGCATGGGTATGTGTGCTTGTAAGTAGCAATGATTTTGAGAAAAGTCTCTGTGTACTTCATCTTGGAAGCAACTTGCTATAAATACGAGTATGCAAAGATGACCCAGAATAATTCCAGCTGGTAAGTAATTTTCTTACAGGAACATAAAGGTGTTGTCTGCTTAATTTTCTGTAATGTTTATAGTTTGTTTCTTTTAAAAGTCATGTAAGCAGATTAAGGTGAAGGAGAAAGGGCTGCTCTGAGAGAATTTGAAAATAGAATACATGGAGAAAAGCTGTTAGAAACCAGAATGAAAAAGTCTTCTTCCTAGTAATGGGTGCCATGCTGAAGTCCAGAGACTATCCAAACAGTGGGGCAAGAGTATGAGTTTTCCAGAAGGTTTAAGAGGTAACAGCAGAACATAATTTTTGCCTTATTTTAGGAAGAAAAAAAGAATTGTGACTGTAAAAGTTAAGAGAATATCTGTACTTACTTTGTTTGCTGTTTTGCTGTTTTAGTAGTTGTGTTTGAAAGGCAGAGTCAAGGTTTTGTCTTTTTTTTTTTTTTCCCCATAATGACTTTCATTAAGGTTTGAAGGGTGCATTATGTTGAAGACTGTCTTTTTGACCTTTATGCAAAAGAATTGAATTTCAGGTTCCTTATGCTATCATTTGTGCTGAGCAGTCACAAACTTTGCAGCTATATACTTCGTTTGGTGTTGATAGACAAACTGTTGGTAAAGGCAGGCTTCCCCTAATCATTTTTTCCTTACGTCTTGTTTTGGTTTACTTGGTACACTTCAAGATGTATTAAGTTTTGTTTTCTAACTCCTCACACATTGCTTCTTAAAGCAAAAATACGTGATTTGACAAAGTTTCTTAATTCTTAAAGCCGAAGAAGACACTCTTAGCTAGTCCTATTTCTTGCAAAGGTAGACAAAATTTCAACAAGATGCATGTTATTATTTCTTTTGTTGATAAGGAGATGAATTGGACTTACTTTGGATATATTTATTTTTTGTGCGTAGACTGGCACTGAGCTTTTTAAAGAAAGCTGTGGATGTTCTGCAGAGTAGGTAGTGTTTTAACAGCTTACTGCAACTCTTTCCTTTTTGAGGTGTGCAGCCCCATTCCCCAGGTGACATCTCTGAGGTTACATGGTGTCAGAAATACTGTCAACATCTTAACTCTGTACAGTAGCAGTAAGTACAAAAGCAAAACAGCAGCTTGTGGTTGGTCAACACCTCAAGGCTGGTATGGGGTAGGTATACCATCCCTGGAAACCTGCTAGAATACAGGAGGAAAAAAAAAGGCATATACTACTGGTGGTTGCTACATAATGCAGAGTAGCATATACTACTGGTAGTTGCTACATAATGCAGAGTAGCTGCACTTCGCAGTTTTCAGAAAACAGTTTTCATGATGCTGCAGTGCTGCACATAGAGTATAGGTAATCTCCATGAGAAAAGAGGATTTATTGATATTTCTCTCTTACCATGTGTATGTCTTAGGGTATGTAGAAGGACCTTGTAGATTCAGAAAGGTCTCTGTTCCTCTGAATTTGGTGTATTATTGTTTGAGATCATCTGGTGATCTAAGATCTCTAAGATCACATTTTTACACAAACATTTCTTTTTATGTAAACATTCACATTTTGATCAACTTAAGTTGAATGTCAAAACAAGTTTTTTTGTTGTTGTTGTTGTTTTTTTTTTTTTTACCAACTATGTTATGCACCTGGTAAAGTTTGGAGAATACTCAGTCTGTTTTTCATGAACATTTTGGGTGTACTTTGTATATGGTCAAGAGAAGAAAAAGGAGAACTGAAAGTGCAGGAATAAAGGTTTTTAGAGAAAAAAAATATCGTAAAAATCATAAAATACTGATTATGTAACTTCAGTATTTTTCTGTTGGTCATTGCAAATAGTGTATTTTTATCTAAATGTTATACTACAAGTAGAAAGTTATTTTTTAATGTTAGAGCAGTTTTTTTTATCAACACAATAAGCGAGATATATAAAATCAGGATATTCACACAGTAATGACATCTTTACTAATCTCCTGTATCTAGTATAAAGCGCTCTATTATTAAAAACAGGTATTTCTGTATCAACAGTACTTGTTGCTGTATACAGTAGTTCTGAATAGATAGCAGTACAACAACTTACCACTTGGTGTCACCTGAATATTTTGAAAATGGTTCTCAGAAGACACGATTTCAGTGAGAGACAAATAAGCTATATTTTAATGTTACTAGATAAGCCTGGAGTTTTTTAATTCCTTGTTCTGTTCATGATTTATTTAAATATATGGAAACTATATATCTAGGTGTTCATTTTTGGGATATGGAGCCAGGCTGCATGTTGAAGTTCCAGAAGAAGGTGACAGTTTACAGTTCAGGTTGGGAGGGATTAGAGGGAAGACACAGAATAGAAAGAAAACTCTACGCCCTGTAGAAGAAATGGTTACTTTCTCTGTTATTTTGAACATCGTTTTAGTGTGGGTTTGTCTCTAGAAGTTGCATGGCACCTTGGTGTTCTCAAGTTATGCTTTGCTGTCAAGTGTGGTGCCCATGTAGAAAAACATGGGTGGTAACGCTTCCAACTCCTGCCTTTTTGGACTCTGTCCTTCAGGCTAACTAGACACAAGGCAGCTCCAATTTTGAGACTATATAGCTGCATTAATTAACGCAGAAGTTGCTCCAAGACCAGCAGTGACATAGTGCAGAGCCGAATTGAAACTAAAAAGTCTGTTGAGAGGTGTTATTTATCTGTCAGGTACCTTGCATCATTAATACAGCTTTGTAGGTTCTGGAATCAATTTGGCTCATCCAGATGACGTTGAAGTACAGGTAAAGGAGAACCTGAAGTTGTGTCAATTTGAGTTGCAGGATAATTTCTACCTCCCTTTCTTCAGTAAATGTAATCATCTGAGGCCAGAAAAAGCAGAACAGAACGTTCTTCTCAGAATGATTTCTGGCTTTACTTACTGCTGGTGGAACTCCACTGGTATAAGGAAATTTTGATTTGTTTGTTAGATTACACATTAAACTGACTTTATTTTAATTGTGTTCATTAATTTCTTGTATAAGAAATTTATTTGGATATAATTGCTTGTTAAGTTATACTCAAATTCATATACACTACATTTTCTTGTGAAATACTAGCTTCTGTTTGGTGAATGTAATTGCATAGATACGCATTTATTTTAGAATGGACATATTAAATGGGGTCAATTGTAATAGTGCATGCAGGTATAAATACAGAGTTAAGTAGCTGTGACCCCTATACTTAGTAAACATACAGGTGCTTTAATATCTAAGAGTTCTGAAAAGCTTTTCTGATGTAACTGTAGCACTGAGGTCCATTGTGTTTACTAGTGACTTCTCTGCTTGGTTAGTGACTGGCTATCAATTTTCTATTTATTTATTACAAACAACCAACCAAACAAAAAAAAAAAACAACAACACATCCAGTGTTTGGTTTCCTGCATATGCTGTAGTCATGTTCCTATCTGGAAGTGGTGGAGATTCAGAAAGGTCCCTGTAGTTGTAGATCTTCCTCTCCCATCTTACTCATTTTCATGATCTATTTTGGAGGCTGAGGATAGTCCCTTCAGTTTCCTTCTGTTAGGAGTAAAAGCTTTCATAGTCTTGTACTAAGTTCATATTATAGCAGGACTCTGTTTTACATAGTCCTCAATTTTTTTATTTTATTTTTTTTTGTGGAAATAACATCACTAAGTAAAATCTTGTTAGTCTTAGAATGTTGTGATAGCCTCTTTAAAGATCAGTGTTGTTTTTACTGCTGTATTTTGGAGAGAGAGAACCTGAATTGTAAATTCAGATGTTTGGCAAATTCTAGTTTACAAAAATGCAAGAGTCTATATTGTTATTTAGCTAAAGCTTTTTTTAGTAAGATCAGAATAAAGAGTAAACAGCTCTCTCCTCTCCTTCTCCCCCAGCTGAAACTAAATTTAGATGAAAAAATACTTGAACTATATTTGGTCCAAGTGAAGACCTTCTTCATTTATTTAAGCAAGTTTAAAAAGAATAGCATTGCCTTTCTTGATAACAAAACATCAGATGTCTTGTAAAACACAAAGATAGACAAAACATCTGGAAACTAAAGTTTTATTTGTACTGTTTATCTGCAAAATAAATTACTATTTCTGTTTTGTTTTTCTTATAAATAGTTAACATTTAAAATGGAAGACTTCATATGTTCTGCAGAAAATGAGAACTTAGCATAGTCAGTTGGAAGGAACCTACAAACGTAGAGTCCCACTCCCTGACCACTTAGTGTAAGAAATAAAGTACTCGATTCAAAACTAGCTCTGCCAGGATTCTAAAGCATTTAGAAAAGAAACAATATTTTTTTTTTTTTTGCTAATGTTCAATATTTCCTAGGTAGCCCATCTGATTTCAGTGGAACACTGTGCAGAATAAATTATTATTAGATTACCAGGGGTCAGAAAACGTGGTTCTTGACTGAAGTTAATATAGTCCCTCAACTTGAAATAACTCCTTTATATTTACCAGAGAACTCCTTTATTTTTTTTTTTTGTTTAAGTTTTGCTTTCCTTAAAGAGGTTTAAGAATAATAATAAAAAAAATCCTCTTAATTTCCAGCAGAGTACATTCCTGCTCATGGCAGGGGGGTTGGAACTATATGATCTCTAAGGTCCCTTCCAACCCGAGCTGGTCTGTGACTCATTCTATGATATTCCCTATATAGTAATGGGAAACAAAAAATGAGACTTCAGCAAACTGCTCTATTAAAAATGTACTGGACATCACATGTTATTTCTCTCGTTAGAAGAGACAGAGTTACAGTTTTGATGTCTTTATGGAACAAGACACAAATGTTTTGTATCTTGATTTCTTTTAGACTTCTTTTAGACTTTGTCCAAGCTGCTTCTCCTTAGTTCTGTGTTACAGGGTTTATGAAGGGCTGTTGCATGGCTACACAGCAGTTAGTGACTTTTTTTTCTTGATTAGACATTCCTAAAAAGCAAATTTCTTCACAAATCTGGTGAGGGAACTATAAATCCTATACTGTCCTATAACAATTAAGTAAGCTTTGCTACTATCCATCTGGATATTAACAATTTGGTTCATATAGTGTCAAGGTTTCTGTGTTACAAAATGTCCGTGCAGTGTATGATTCTTCCAGTGCTGATGCAAATGGTCTCCTGAATTTACAATTTAAAATTTCATTCAGGGAAACTCCATCAGCACATGTAGACCTATGCAGCACATTGGAAGATGGTAGAATCTGTTTCTAGTCCTTAAGATAATACTCTCTGCAGCAAGAGGCTGGGTCCTGGGAGGTTTCTCCCTGCTGAATCTGACTTGGGAGTTAAGGGGAAGAAGTTTCATTAAAATTTTCTCAGTTTTAGGGATCTGCCAGATTTTGTAAGTGTATTCAACAATAAAATATCCTTTGTTCCCCTGCACCTGCTATTCCATGTGACATTGCACTGTGACACACTTTAAGAAGTTAATTTTCAGGTAGAAGAAAGCATTTAGAAGCACTAGAAAAGTAAAGATACTACTACATCTGTGAATCAAGGAAAAGCATTGTAGTGGCTAATTAGAGCATATAAGTAGCAGTTTAGTTCCAGTTCACCATGTGGTATTGTTTACTGCATGCATTCTGAAGTGAGTGGATTGAGTTTCGTATCTTATTGCAGATTCACTTGTTTAAGCTTTTTAACTATTGCATGCAGTAGCAATTCACAAAAATTCACAAAACTTACGTAAACTAGTTCAAGAGTATACTCAGCATCTGGCTTTTTGAACAGTTGTATTGGTAGACTTCTGTCATGGATTTGGGACATTTAACTTAAACGTGTCACAGTTGATTTTTTTTTCTCTACTATTTCATTATAAGCATTTTCTTTACTTTGACATTGCCTTGGTTTGTGTTATAAAAATTACCTTTATTGCTGTTCAAACAATTAACAGCTGAGTACAAAAGGTAAGATGCTTAAAAAATACATACATGTAAATTACTGGCTTTATCAAATACAATCATAAGTGGTGGTTGGTATTTTTTGTTTGTGATTTTTATAATGTAGTATAGAATGTTCCTTTTACAGTATTAATTTAAATCTCAAATATTTATCAGATGGCTTACACAATTGTTTTTGTAACAATCCTGAAGCAACCATATGCTTTTTGTGTCCCTAAAAGCACCAGTGAGAGAGTAGGAATGAGCAAACATCCCAAGATTACTTGCTGCAGTTTTCTTTCCATCAAAAACATTCTCAGCACTACTGTTTGAGCTGTTAGTTAGAGCAGTTGGGGGTGTGCATATACCGAAATAACCTTGAGACCAGCAAGGCTCTTAGAAATACCTAGTCTAGTGTCTGTTTTCAAAGGAGACTGTTATAGACCTGCTGATGGATCAGCCAGTCTGATGTTCACTTGGATAGTACAGCACAGAAGTTAGGGTTTTAATTCCTAGAATGACTTTAAACTGATCTCTGAATCAGTTGCATTTCCAGATAAGGTTTAGATTTGTGTTAAGAACCAGAGTTGTTACTACACTTATAATAGGGGCTATTTCTCTGGGGAGCCAGTTTCATGTAAAAAAAAAGTCTGTGTTCCTCCTCTCTTTTGAAGAAAATAAAAATAACATTATTTTTAACTTTCTGCATGATATGCCACAATGGTAAATGTTCTCTTTTTTTGGTGTGTGTCTCTGTGGATGAATTTAATGTGTCAATGGCTGTCATTGCTGAGGCTTCACCCATTTTAAGATGGGGATTACCATTTTCTCTGAGTGTCGTGAGATAGCTTTTTAAAAGCTTATAAGGGAGTTTGAAAATAAAGTTAAATCCATGCTCCGTGTTAGCTTCATTGCTGGGAGCTTCTAATCTGAGTCACCCAGGATTTGTCCTAAAGATTGTTATTTTCCTGTCCTGCTGCTTACAGATGGGGACCATAAGCTTGTAAATCTAGGCCTGTGTAGGAGAACTTGGAGAAAAACAAGTCAGAAAGATAGAACAAGGTTGGTCTATGTTTATGCATGAAATAATTTGACTGACATCAGTAGAGTCAGTAACTTCAAAATAAGAGTAAATTTATTGGGCTTTTCTAGTCAGTTGCTGATTATGCTGAAGACAGTTTATTTATGAAGTAGGGCTGCCAGAACACGGTACTCCATCGTTAATGCTCACTTTGACCTAAAGCATTAATATGAAAGACTACTGCTATGATAGCGTTATATGTAAGAAATTGAGACAATTTATGCCTATTAGATCATTGTTCTATTTAATTTTTTTTCACTAAAAATTTGTTCTCAGTGGAGGTAAAGTAGTATGGTTAAATACTTTCCTTAAGTATTTGAGTTAATATTAGGGGTGCAGAAGAAAGGGAATGCAGCATTGGGATAAGACACTGAATGCTTTCATTACACCATTATCCTAAATTCCTTATTTCATGTTTGAATAGGTAATGCAGTATGGTTGCTGAAATGAGAAGTTGTCTTCTCTTCTCTCCCCCAACTTTTTTCCCTTTTTTTATTCCTTTTTCCTGCAGCCAACTGTGCACCGTACTCTGCTTGAATTGCCCTGAAGAACAAGTTGAGCAGTTGAAAGTTTGAAATTTGTTACACTGGATCTTGCCATCGAAGGAAAAAGAACACCACACTAATGCACAATTACTGGAAATTCAGATTACACGTTTCGTGATGAATTATTTTTCAAAGTACATTTTTTTAACTTTTGATTTTTGAAGATTAGTGCAATTGAATGTTAAATCGTTTTAGTTAAATTTGTTTTGAAGAGAGAACTTGTTTAAAAGATTTTTATTACCTGTAATAGTTTATACAACAGTAGCTTATCTTTAGTGTTGAAATAATTCGGTGCTTGTATTGTGAGTTACATGCAGAATATCTTTTTAGTTTCAGTTGTAAGTAATAAATCTGAAGTAAACACTTAAAAAAACCACCTGGCAACCCTGCCTTTTAATACATAAACATAATTCCCAGTATTCCAGTTGGAGCTCAAATATGAAATGCAAATGCGATACTCAAAAGACTTGTTTCTGTAACTTAATGCCAAATTTTATAGGAAGAACACGTCCAATAAAACTTTTGCTTCTGGAATAGCATTATGTCAGTGATGGAGTGGTATTTTGAAGGGCCTTACGTCAACATACTGTCAGGCTACGTAAGGTATAATGCTATAGTCATAACACAGGTTCAACACTTCAGATAATTCTTGAGACAAAAATTGGCGAAAGAAAAAAGTGTGACACAAAAATTGCAGCTTAGTGAACTGTACATAAGATACATGTCCTAGGAGAGAGACCGTAACAAGTATACATACGTTTTTGTGAGTTCATGGAAGCCTTACTTGTACCTAGGTTATTCCTTGTAACCAGCAGTTCTATTTGCCTGTGGTTGTCACGTTGAACAGCAGCTTGCTCACTTTAATCAGGCCATATGCTGCTTCAAAAGAATCTCTTAGCATTAAATGGAAAATAGTTCTTAAGTTTTTAAATCGGGTATATGTAATTCATTTTGAGTGAGCTATCTTTACTCCTGTAGTGTTAACTATTCAGCATTTCTCAGTAAAGTGCTTTATTTATTGAATGACAATTTTTTTTTTTCCTTTTATTCCTGAAACAAATACAGTGGATCAACCTCCTTTTTAAACTTGGTATGTAGTTTCAGTTCCTGGTCAAGGAATGGGCCAAGTAGCTTATGTTAAGAGTCTAACGGCCTGACTTATACAAGTATTGGTTGTAAGCTGTTTTGTTTGAAAAGCTTGTCAAAAAAAGAATATTATGTAGACAGAAAACAATGCAATGGAGAGATTTAAAGTTGAATATTTTTTCTTAATGCAGTCAAATATTGACGTTACATATTTTAGTTGACCATGTTGCATCAATACATTGAATTTTTTGTGTTAATTTAGATACTGATAGAGTAGTTAAATTTTATTTGTATTTCATATTAGCTACGTAGGTGTTTTAAGTGTTGTAATTTTTAATGTTGAAATCATTTTTGACTTCTGTACTTGAATTTGAACATTGATATTAAATTTATTCTGTTAGTATTATGTGTGTTTACTTAAATATTAGAAATTTACATATAGTACCTTTGTAAACATATTTTGTAAGGTTTGCTTTGCTTTCTCCAGTAGCAAACTTTGGCCAGAGGCTCCAGTTCAGATGCTTTGTTGAACACACAAGTCTAAGTGAAAAAAGAAAATGAAAACACCCTTTTTAAAAGCGTGTTTGCTTAGGAGCTTCTGTCACTCTGAAAAGCTGCTACACTCCTAAAATTTCCTCAGAAATTCTGTTGAGAGGAAAGAAGAGGGGGCTTGCTTAACTTTGTGTTTAAAGTGAGTGGTCCCTGAGACCAAGACAGAAGTCAGTATCTGAGGTAGAATAATACCATATCATGCTGATAAGGTAGGGCAGAACTAAGATCAAAGTAGTGGTGCCTGGCAGCTTTAGAATTCCCCTCTACAAGCTGCTGAAACAAGCTTTGTTTTTGTCATGAATCTTGCTTAAGATTCACGTTCTTAGGGCAAGGTTTTCTAATTGACACCTTAACAATACAATAGACTTCTCACATGTGCAAGAAAGACTTGATAAAACAATGTTCTGTTGTCCTTCTAATGGAAACCTGATACAATGAGCATGGCTAACTACTTACAGGAGTCAGGTGATGAAGTACACAGAGGTTGCATAATACCAAAACATTTATGGACCTGCTATACTAGCCATCCTTCCTATCTGGGTTTGAAACCTTGCACCCATATTTGAAAGTCTTGTACAAAAAGCAGTTTTGCTACAAACCAGCAACTCCCATCATTATTAACACGAGCATGTACCTTTTGCAATTATTTTAAGTATTCCCAGTAAGCTTGACTGTACAAAAGCACGATCAAACATTTGAGTGTAACGAGTACTGGGCAGCTATAAGCGAAGTGCAGCTTTCAGCCAGAATTTGGTCTTTGTTTTGCAGATAAGAACAAAGGTGTAAGGAATAAGCAGCAGTAGCACTACGTTGCTGTAATTCAATGTTTTTGAAGTTTATTTAGAACACATCATTAAAACTCTATAATCAGCATTCAAAAATGTAAGCATAATTTTCATATTTATACATGTCTCACTGGAGCTTATTAACCTTTCGGAAAAAAAATATTCTAAAAACATTGCAAAACCATATTCTCTCTTTTCCATGTATTTTACAGTACTATTGTATAACACTGATAGAGGTGGATCTATATAGAGTCCTGTTCTAAAATTGGTGTAGAAAGTAGAAGTCCTTCTGAAAGCAGAGGTCACTGACTTCATTGAAACTAAGTTTTGCTCAAGTTCCTTTGCACTAAACCCACTGCATTAAAAATGCCCTGTATAAGAAAGGGTGGTCCTTCATCTTAGGTTCCTTTTTATCTATTCCTTTTTTTAAGCCTTGGCACATGGTTATGCCAACGTTGTGAAGCAATTGTATTGTGGGCAACAGCCTGCATCTTCCACTCTCTCTATTTTTTCTGGGGGAAGCTAAGGCCATTTGTCACCAGCAGCTAGTGTCTTTTTGAGTAACACAAAGGGAAGTTGCTAAATTAATGGGAATTTCCTTTTAATAAAAAACTACTAAAGAACAAGTCAGCTGGTAGTTATTAAATTAACACAACCTTAAGGTAAAAGCAACCCTAAAGAAGTCAGTTTTACAAATCTGTTTCTTTAAATTCCTTAATAGAGTTGTTGCTGATCAGCTTAGCCTCTCCAGATAGTTTAGCAGCTATTTGGTGTTCAGCTTAATAGGAAGAGGAAGGAAAATAGATGATGGTTTAGCACTGTTAGATACAAGTGTCCTGCACTTACAACCTTACAACAGTCAAGATGAAGGAAAGTTTAGAACAATCATTAGAGCTCCTTCTTCCACCCCTCTCAGTTTTTCCACCATGCTAACAAGGCTGTTAGGAGATGCCACAACCTGAAATAGTTGTTAGTTATCTGTGGGTGTACTATTAAGCTTAACAGTCAGAAAGAGTAAAAAGCTGTGCCCTCCTTCCTACATCACCAGCTATACTCAGTACTGCAGTAACTAACCCATAACATCCTCAGGAGGCAAAGCCCACGTTGCCCCGTGAAAGCACTGCTCAAACCACCCGATGGCACCAGGGCATCAGCAATGGTGTCAGACACACAGGACCATGGCGAAGGCAGGCCACTTCCAAAGTCTCAGGGCCATAAAAGCAAAGGCGACTGCAAGACTACCACAGAGAAGCATTCATTGGCAAAAAAAAAAAAAAATCCAAGTCTGTCTCAGTAATAGCTTATTTTTTGTTTAAATGGTCTTCTGTCATCCAACTGATACAATTTTGGCCTTACACACAGAAGGGCTTAATTTTTATAATCTTTGTCCTTTTCTTGAAAAGAGGCTTTTCTGTCTCAAATTATAAACAACGGCCATTGAAATAATATATAAAAAAACATAATACATAAAAACAAAAACACAGTTAAGCTAGGTGGAATTTTTAGGACTCTAAAATGCAAATATGCGTACAGAATTAGGAAGAAAGTTATACATACTGCTCAGAGGTGGGTGGAATTTCAAGAAGCGTGAGGACACCTAAACATCTTCAAAAAGAAGGCGACAAAAATAAGGTAGTTTGGTCTCAATTCCAGTCTTACATTTGGAGACTGCAGTGATTTTGAGCTAGCAGGTAAAGTTCTGGACTCGAAAGAGTTGAAAATACAAGGTAAGAGCCACTGAGAACAGTACTGGCTTGTAGATCAAACAGCAGCAATCATACTTCACACTTACAAGCTTGTGGTGCTCCAGAAAGAACGTGTAGTATTGCCATTTTTTACATGGGGGATGTCATTCAGGCACAGGAGCTTGTCAACTATTTGTTGACTGTGATAATCAGAAATTGAAATTAATCAGTATGAGAATCAAGTGTTTACAAAGGCAAACTGCAGCTCACTGAGACTGGTCTGTATGTTACAGCTCAGTTTAGGTAGGAAGTCAAATTCCCTTAAAAAGCCATGGCAGAGTGTGTCTGACATGAACATCTTTTCTCTCTCTCTCCTGTTCTCATCCCACCATGCAAAGAGGTTAGTATTTCTGAGCACCTTTGGCCAAAGTTATAATATTCGGTGTGGATATTGGCAGAGTACTTGCTGTCAAGAACCAGTGAAAATCTGTGAGACTCAGTGGAAATACCTTGATGGAAAACTTAGGTAAAACATAGCCATACCGCCAGGGCAGCTGGCCAAGAAACAAGTACCCAGTTCTTTAACTACAAGAATTACCACTTCAGGTCTTGAACGTTTTTTTCTGCACTACCACGGGCTACAGCTGCTATTGACTTACAGTTTCCTGCAGAGGGAAGTATTCACTAATATATAAAAACAAATACTGAGTCAAACGATCTTTGTCAAAGTTGGAAATGTCGCAGTGTGTGAGTGAAGAGCGCAGAACTAGAATGTCAGGAATGGTATTCACTCAATTAGTTTGTACAGGGAAGTCAAAACATTTCAAGGGATAAAACAGTCAGCTTTCCAAGCAAATGAAAACTTACTAAATCAATGGGAAATTAAAAATTTGTGTCTTAAATCTCACCCCTTTACGATTTAGGAGCCTAACTGTGCTTTGATACTGACATTATTAACCTAATGAAGAAGAAAAATAAGACATTTCTACTTGTGCTGAGTGCTTCAGGTGGTCCCTGCACCAACAGGGCCCTTCTGTCCGAAATCTTCATGTCTCCCTTGCTCTGTTCCACAGATTCAACAGCAAGGACAAAGACAAATGTAAGAATGTTTCTCTCCTTTCCCCACAACCTCTTCCTAGCCAGAACTTACTCTTTGCAATGCACTCCTAGAGAAGTCAGATTAGCAGGTTGGATTCAAACTGATGAGAGAAGAGTACTTTCATCCCTCCCTTTCTTTTTGAATAAAAGAGCTATGAAGGTCATTTTGTTGTTTGGAGGTACATACTTTAACACATGAACCTGCATCATAGGTAAATTGGGCTCTAAAAGAATAGAGTAATATCTATCAGGAAAGTCTGTGCATGCTTTCAGAAATGAACTGGTTCTGACTGGAGAGGAGCTAAATGGCAAAGAAGGGCTTGGGTGCATGCAAAACAATCATCTCACAATTTCCACAGAATGACAAAGATTTTGAGGAGCACACAAAGTTTTGGACTAGGTAACTTTAAAAGAAAGTAAAAAAAGCCACCTTCATTGTCTAAGGCAATGTTCATAAGAGAAAGCTACCTGGACTCCTTTGAACACTAAAGGCGTATATTTTGATGAAATTTTTATTACATGTTTTTCCTTTAAAAAAGCATTCGGTTTTCAGCTACCATGAAATCATATTTATTTTATTCAGTCATCCCCTCCAAGGATTTAGGCTATGGAAGCGCTAGATGAAGACCAGAGGGAACTCCTATCACCCCGTTCAGCCAGCAACACAAACATACACACTGCTGAATTTCATTACATGCCCTGGAGCAAGCCCAATAACATACCTAATGAAAGCACATCTTCCAGAAAGGCATCAGAGACCACAGGGTGCCAAATCTTGCAACATAAATTGGATCAGGGCATCTTAACTTTGAACAGAGGCAGTACTTTATTTGCAAAAACTCGATTTCTCCCACATACAGGCGGCATTTGCTAAGCTCCTGAGAACTCCCCTTGGTTCAGGAAACTTTCAAAGCTACCTACCACTTTTACATGCTGGTAACAGCTTGTCTCCATGAATACATCAGCTACATTTTCCTGCTTCTCTTTCACAGCTTCGTGTGAAGTTTGTCTAATATTTCAGTAGCTACTTGATGCTGCTGTGAATAAAACTGTGGGAGTATTCCACGAGCACGTGGAGATCAGCTGTATTTAGCTCTGGTTGAACCTGCACCACAGAAATGTGTTTAGTGAGAGGTAAAGCTTTTCCAAAGCTAACTAATATATCAATGCTGTGGGCTTTTGGGAGCTCAGCTTCATGTCTGTGTACCCCCCACACCCCATATTCAAACCCCACTGAAAGAAAGCAGCCACAGCTGCTTCTTGGGCTAGGGAAAGGTTGGCAC